TAGCTCCATGGAAGTTCGAGATCCGTTGCAATTACGATCTCCGTGTCATAGATCCAGGTCACTCGGTGTGGGATCCTCAATCCCTTGGATCTGGACTTGGAAAAGTGGGATCTGAGACATATAGCGGTGGATATTGCCTTCTCTTTTGTTGTTGATACCAGATCCACCTCCATAGGATCCCCACTGGATCCACCCGCACATGGTATATCCCATGTCCCTCGGTGTAATTGGGTGAGAGTGGATCCGAGTCTCCCTTTGGTCGATCTCAGCTGTACCGCCGCCAACCATGTTCCTCTTTTCGTTCTTCATACTCTGAGCCACTATTATCCCAGACCTATCGTCAACACATATGGGATACCACTTTGCCTCGGCCCAATCCACTTCGAGCAGTATGGATCCACGCCGAGCAATCCAAATCCACCCTAACCATCAGGTGTTGTCACTAATCTATGATAATGACTCCTTGTCAGATCTCGTCTCCCATTTCTGAGAAAGCACTTCCCCACACCTGATATCAATATTCGATGATACAGTGTAGTCAGAGCATCAAGATCACAGATCCCTTACTCCAAACAGAGTATTCACTGATGGGGACAATATCAAAGACGCAAAATCAAATACTTATGTTTGTCGTGATTCACTGTGAAACCAAATAACGGATCTAAACATTTTAAATTCGCCATTTTTAGTTTTTGGTTGTAACCAACTCTGTACTTTCGCAGTTTGTATTCTCTCTCACTGGCAAAACTTGCAGGGAAACCGGCCTTGCCAAAACCAATCGTCTGGTAAGCATTCCATGCTGCAACGGCATCACGATGTCGACATTCTGGCGTGGTTCAAGGCGAACGAGATCTCTTTTTTCTGGAGCAGCTATCTTACCTAAATTATACTTGGAAAATCCTCTCTCAGCAGGAGCGGTTTTGTATCAGCAACTACGTAGTAAACGAGCTGCGGACCAGTTTTGATGAAGACCGAGCGGAAATTGTTGTGTGTTATGAAGACCAATTGGTCGGAGTGTCGAGCGCACATTATTTACACGTAAGATCGGGGTAACCAAGAAGCGCAAGCGCAACTCAATAATTACATATTTGTGGTGAAGTGCTTTCTCAGAAATAAGAGAATGGACCTGACGCGGGGTCACTATTCCGAATCAGTGACAATTTCAAGTGATTAGAGAGGATTTGGATCGTCCGGCGCGGATGCAAGTTGCCGGTGGTGGATTTGCCATGACGAGCAGCACCCCGTATGGAATGACGATTGATCTGGTATGAGCGATGTACGGGAAGGCAAGATCCACCAAGACTTATCTCGGATCCACCCTTACCTGGGCTCACTTAGGTGGAACTGGGATATACTATGTAGCGGTGGATCGAGTGTGGATCCCATGAAGGAATGGTGGTAATTGTCATCTGAAGGTGGATCTAGTAGCCACGACTAATGAGAAGTCGAAGATCCACCGCGAGGAGTCCCGAGTCCCATACTTCCGA